CTAAGTGTTAAGAGAGACCTACTGCTTCCCGGCGGTGTGACTCAGTGGTTGAGCGTCGACCTATGAACTAAGAGGTCACGGTTTGATTCCCATCGGGGCACATGCCTGGGTTGTGGGCTCAGTCCTCAGTAGGGGGTGTGCAGGAGGCAGCTGATCCATGATTCTCTCTCATCATTGATGTTTCTATCTCTCCCTTTGAGAGAGAGAGAGAGAGAGAGAGAGAGAGAGAGAGAGAGAGAGAAACCTACTGCTCAGGGCTATGGGAATTGAAAGGCAGCAGGGATGCCCTCTGGCAGGGATGGGGAGGACTTCATGGGACACAGGGCATTTCAGCTAGAATGTAAGATTCAGACAAACGCACACAGCTCAGGTCAAAGGCAGACTACACAGAGGTGGGGGTGGGGGTGAGGGTGGGAGGCCAGCACTGGGCTGTGCTTGTCCGTAAAGGGCAGAGCAGGAGGGGCGCTTGGAAAGCAGGTTGGAGCCCGTTGCTGATGGCCCCGAGTGCCAGGTGTAGAGCTCACTTTATTCTCAGGAAGGAAGGTGGTAAACGGCCACTATTCCGCTTCAGGCAGAGCAGTCTGGCAGCGGCGGGAATGGATTTGCGAGGGAGAGCCTGGAGCAGAGGGAGCGGGGATTTTATGTTTATTTGACAATACTGGGTCTTTACTGATCACATAGCTGTGTAGGGGGACTGGACACCGGTCAGGACCATTTCTGAAACTTGGGCACAGGCTAAATGACTCAGGGTGAGGCTACAAGGATTTCTAAGGAGTCATCACAGACAGGCTCAAACAATGCACAGTGCGAAGGAGGGAGCCTGCTAGCAGCTCTAAAACCGGGCCACGCGGTCCAGAGGAGGGAGGTTAATGCAGGAAGCCCCAGTCAAAACGCTTGTGGAAGGCAGGGCCTCGCTGCTCAGTGAGGGCGACATGCCAGCAGGCGGGCCTGAGGCAGAATGGGCCAAAACCTGCCCGGCCAGATAGGAAGCCCCAGAGAGAGGAGGGGAGGGGAGATTAAAACGCTGAAGGCGAAATCACAACCACTTTTGAGGTGCAAAAGGCAAAAGGCAAAGCAGTTGCTAAGTGAACTGCTAACAAGGGCTCCCGATTGTCAGCCTGCAGCCTGGCCCACTGGGTTTATGGCATCGGCACCTGTACCTAGAGGGATGCAGTGGAGCGCAGCTCCGAGCAGCGGGCCTGGGTGTGAAGCCGCAGCAGCAGGCACATCAGGGCTGTGGGGTGCAGGACGCACTGTGTACCAGGCAGCGCCAGAAACAGCCTCTGCGGGACAGAGCAGTCCCTGCACGCGTGGGTTTTCTGACTTCCCCGATGCAAACTACGTAGCCTTCCTCACCTCACGCATTGATGATCCACTCCTCCAGGAGCTTCGTTTCCAGATGCAAAGGCTGCCTGCAACCCAACCTCGCTGCAGCACTGCCCTGTGACCCCCTCCTGACAGTTAAAGCGACTGGTCAGGAGGTCTTTTTCAGAGTTAAATGTTCAGAGCCCTTAGGACTGGGGCTGCATCTTGGATAGTGACACCATGGGGTTCCTGTATTTTTATGCGGACACGTGCTGGGGTTCCTGTATTTTTATGTGGACACGTGCTGGGGTTCCTGTATTTTTATGCGGACACGTGCGTGCACACGATTTCATCATCTTTCTCGCAGACGTTTTCGCAGGAAAATACGTGTAGTGACTATGAATAAGGAGGTGGTGGAGCAATACTACGCCCTTCACATCAGCAGAGTTCAGTGATAAAAGCAGAAACAGTGTGGCCCAGAAATTCACTAGAATTCAACGTCACTACGGAATATCTAAGAATAAGCAGAAGCTATTTTTTCCCCTCTTTCTCTTATTTTTTTTTTAAAAAACTTGATATTCCTGTCTTGGTTAAGTGTCTTCCTCTGGGAATCATATGCAATATTCACAGTTAGATTTGATGTCAGAATTCCGTTGTTGACAATGTTCTAAGGATACGTTCAGAGCTAGGATGTCTAAGATGACAAGGATGGATGTTTTCTATATCTGATCATGGTTGTTGTATAAACATCTAAAAAGGAAGTGTCTGTAAGCCATGGTTTATACTGTGTTTTGCTTTAACCTGATACAGTGCATTATGTTCGGCTGAGGAGAGACTGGAAACAGGTAGAACCCTTAGTTATGCTAATTCCATAATTGTGGGCCTTTACTGATCACACAACTGTGTAGGGGGGTTGAGAACTCTGGTCTAATGTAACTACAGATGACCCTGGAACCACACGAGGGTGGGGGGTTACCAGCACGCCCCTCCCTCTTTCCCGCACAGTCAAGAATTTGAGTGTAACTTTTGACTCCCCAAAAACGCAACTACTAATAAGCCTACTGTTGACCGAAAGCCAATGACATACACTATTAGCACATTTTTGTATGTTACATGTATTATTCTGTATTCTTATACTAAAGTAAGCTAGAGAAAAGAAAATGTTATCAAGAAAGTCATATGGAAGAAAAAATACATTTACAATATTTATTTAGAAAAATCCAAGTCTAAGTGGACCTGCACAGTTCAAACCCAGGTATAATGTAGTTAATGTCATTAATAACTAAGCATTATATTATTTAGAGTAGCATGGCTGATGTGGTAATAATAATGGTGATTATTAAGAAATTCTGTGTAATACTAACCAACTAGAGTGGGTTGAAATGCTAGAATTTTATTTTAAAGAACTACGTTAGAAGGGTCGCATGTAATGTCTATACATCCAATGCACCGGTAAATACTGGGTCACTGTAGTTATTGTTGGGCACACACTGATAATGACTTCCCTGGGTTGGATGTAGGTGGTTTTGTTCTTGTTTTTCTCGCCATCTTAACTTCTTTTAAAAAGAGGGGGGAATGGGAAGATATTGGTCAAGGGGTACAAACTTCCAGTTATAAGATTTAACAAGGTCTGGGGATCTCATGTACAGCATGGTGATTGTATCTAATAATACTGTATTTTGTATCTGAAAGTTGAAAGTAGATCTTAAATGTTCTCACCACAAAAATAAATGGTAATTATGTGATGAGATGGAAATGGTAACTAATGCTATAGTGGTAATCGTTTTGCAGTATATAAGTGTATAAAATCAACACCTTAACTTGCATTTACATACACACACACACACACACACATACATACATATATATATATATATAGAGAGAGAGAGAGAGAGAGAGAGAGAGAGAGAGAGAGCGCTATCTTTTTTAACACAATGAATAAGAACAACTTAACAGAAGTTCTTGTGAGCATCCTTGAGGGATGCTCAGAAGACCTGAGTCCTTTGCACAGCCCCATGGGCCCTGCGTGATCTGGTCCCTGCTGTCTCTGGCCTGTCTTACCTTCTAAAAGCCCCACCCTCTGCCTCCCTCCTAACTCACCTCCAGCCACTCTCTCCTCATCACACCTTGCTTCTCATTCATGCTGGTCCTTCTGCCTAAAATGCCTTTCCCCTTACCTCCCACTCATCTCTTCTCACTTCAGATCTCAGCATACCTACATAAAGGCATGCATGTCTCCCTGCCATAAGATTTTATAGATTTTATCACAGTGTACATGTTTGTGTGGTCATTTGATCAACGTGTACATTTCTCTCTAGTCTGTAAGTTCCAGGAAGTTGGATGCCTTGTCACACAATAGACATTCAAAAAATAATCACTGAATGGATTTTTAAAAAGAAAAAAAAACTTAGATTTGAAGAAGTTACTGTTTTTTTAATATGGAGGCTAGAAAAACTAAGAACCATAAAATGTGAGAATAGAAAAAAAACACAGAGAAATCTTGAGTCACATATATTGTATGAGTTCTCAGTAAACACCACAGAGTTGGCATTTTTGAGTGTTAAGATTCAAAACCAGCTCTCTGGTCTATAGTGTCAGAAACTCTACAAGTCATTTACCCATCGCGTATACTGTTTGCTCATCATAATCTAAATACTCATCTATACAGTTCTATATGGAGAAGGCTACCTATTTCCTAACGTAATTGGGAGAAAGGCTATCCTGTTTAATTAAATGTTCTAGTCAATCGAGTCACACTCCATCCATACCCGTATAATCCATAAGCCACGACTCTGATTACAATAAACTGCAGGCAACTCACAAACTCAGCTGGTCATACATCACCATTGCTGTAAACACTGAAGATCGTGCAGGGATCACCCTGTGATGCCACTTACCTGGGCACCAGGCGGCACCCTCGTATTTGTCAGGAGCAGCTGCAGTAATCTCCTTGACAGGAAGCTGGTGAGCCAGGCTTTGCTAACGTGGATCGAGCACACCATAGCAATTGCAAGGGCGGTAAAAATCAGTTCTGTTGAGCCAGACGAAAGAACACGTGCTAAATTTGACTAAGAAATACGTACAGGCCATTAAAAATTGACTATCAGCCTAATCTGTTGCAATCCTTTGCTCTCACATACGTATTTGCTGTGTTTGAAATGCTTGGTTTTCAGATGTGTGTTGAGGAACATTTTCTGTCCTGTGGCTAAGTCTGCCACGTCCCACAATGCAATGCCTGCGTTTTCCTGTATCTAAACATCCGTGGAGGGTCACAGCACACTGGGAGCCTCCGATGACGGGTTCCACTGTGTGGAGCGGAGACGCTGAGGCACGAGGCCGCATCTGCACGTTTCCCAGAGATCCCCCTGAGCCAGTGTAGGGGGAGCCCGAGACAGAACACATCTGTGTCCTCCCTGCAACACATCTGTGTGCATCTGGAGTCTCGGGGAGGGTTAGTTGGCTTTTCACACGCGCCGTTAGAGTCCGAACAAGGGACCTTTGTAAGACCTGTGTGCGCAGCACGGGGGTGTCCAGGCGGTTGCAGGGTGCATCCCACTGGCCTGAAACGCCTGAGAATGTGGAGGGCAAGAGGCTTCCCAACGCCTTTCCCGAGGTTAGAATTCCGTCCGGTGAGAGATCCCTGGATGGGAAATGTTTAAAGCATTTCCCCTCCTTTTCCCTTCTCCCCCTTACAGATCTATGCGGTCCGCTCCGTTGTTCCCAACAAAAGCAACAACGAGATCGTCCTGGTGCTGCAGCAGTTCGACTTCAATGTGGACAAGGCAGTGCAGGCCTTCGTGGACGGTGAGTGCAGGCCCTGAACCGATGGTGTCAGAGCTGAGTGTGCCCTGTGCTTCCGTATGGTTCTCCTTAAATGCATCGAATACCAGTGCGTTACTAATGCTTTCTCATAAGAACAGGCATTTTGGAAAACACACACACATACTCAATAAAAACACAATTTAACGTTTTTTCCATCATTACTAGTAAAAAACAAACAAAAAGCCAGTATAGATGTTTTCTAAGTATTTTCTAAAGGATTCCTATAGTAATGCTACTGATTCCATTGCTACCAGTCATTCACGTGTGTTACTAAACACGAGCTTCATTTGACGGTGTCCTCTGCCCGGAGGGGGAAGGACTCGCTCCAACCTGGGAAGTTGTCGCTCTACTTGGCTCTACGACTGGAGTCCTTGAATGTGATGCTTTAGTATCCGAGGGGACTGGTTTGTTCTTTGATATCCTTGCTGTTTTATTTTGAATTTGCCTAATTAATTGGAATATCAGTTCATCTCATCTACTTCTAGACCAGTGGTTTTCAACCTTCCTAATGCCGTGACCCTTTAATACAGTTCCTCATGTTGTGGTGACCCCCAATTTCACTGTTACAAATTGAACATAATGAAAGCATAGTGATTAATCACAAAAACAATATGTAATTATATATGTGTTTTCCGATGGTCTTAGGCGACCCCTGTGAAAGGGTCGTTCGACCCCCCAAAGGGGTCACGACCCACAGGTTGAGAACCGCTGTTCTAGAACCTTTTTGCTTTTTTTTTTTTACTTGTTTTTTAGAAAGCCCATCGCCAGCGATGTTATAGAATCTCAAGTCTCGAAATGTTTTTATCCCGTAAATGTATAACCTACTGCTTTAGATTCCCTGTAAACTAGGAAATCCTCTTCTCCTATAGGATCACATTAAATATGTTTCCTTGATGAACAGAGACCGCATGCCCGCCCTTGGTTATCATAATGCCTCTGGTCCCGTGTCAGCGTATGTTTTTGTAAATATGGACTGGCTCGCCATATCTGACGATGAGGCCAGGGAAAGACTTAGCGCATCTCTCAACCACATCCTATTTACACCGCATTTGTTAAGGGTAGTGTGACCTGCTCATTTTCCAAGGATAGAATAATCGTCCGACGTTCCTACCAGTATATTTGCCTTTCAGACAAGGTCTCGGAACCAGGCAACAGGCTCGCATTCTGATGTCTGCAGCCAAGGTCTAAGGTCCTAATTGAACTTAAAAATGATTATCATTCAAAATAGACCCGCAAGCAGACCCACTGTGCACAGCTTCCCTGCTCTCCCCTGATTCATGGACCAGCAGATAGAGAATCTGTAGTTATCAACAACCAATAGTAGAGAGAGCCATATTAACCAGGCATTGCGGCTTCCCGGGCAACGTGTCTCAAGAAGAAAATGTTGGGCCCTGGCCAGTTTGGCTCAGTGGATAGAGCATCGGCCTGCAGACTGAAGGGTCCTGGGTTCTGTTCTGGTGAAGGGCACATTCCCAGGTTGCCAGGCTTGATCCCCAGTAGGGGACGTGCAGGAGGCAGCCTTCAATGATTCTCTCTCAGCATTGATGCTTCTATCTCTCCTTCCCTCTCCCTTCCTCTCTGAAATCAATATATATATATTTAAATATATTAAAAAGAAAATGTTGGAGCCACACACATCCTGGCTCAGACACACTGTTCAGGTTTCCCCTGCCAGCGTCGCTCGCATGGAAACGGAGCTTCAGGAAAGGGTTAGGGGGACGGTCCCCACCCCCGCTGGCTTGTGGCCCCACAGCGAAAGTTCCATTACAGAGTGACCCTGAGGAAGTGACGGACGCCCAGTAACTGATCACTGTCGGAGGTCCGGGTGTGTTTAAATAGAGCACCTTGCTTGTCCTTCCTGAAGTGCTCGCCTTGTCAGCGTCGAGGTCTCATTAAATAAAACCCTCATCGATTGCTGAGGAGCCTCGTGCCGTTGTGGCTGGGCACCAATCACACGGCTTGTTTAAAAGCCACTGAGAATCAAAAATATGTGTCAGCAACCACCTACGTGGCATATTAACAGCGCTCCTTCCGAGTGGCCCAGGAAACCCCCAGCATTTTCAGGAGAATTAAACTTGAACAGTAACAGTTTCACAGTTCTCTGCAAACATGGTTATTTCTTCTTCAGAATTACTCTCCAGGAGCTCATTTTTTAAAAACTGCAAGTAGAATTTATGTCAAATATGGAAACCAGAGGAATAAATGAGTATTGCCACTGAAAGCTGGAAGCAGTTCACCTCCTTCCCCTGCTTAAAAAGGACAGTATTTTGACATTTTTAAAGATAGTACTTAGAAAACTGACGCTTATCTATGAGTGAGGACCACCCTCATGATTAGTAGCCGCTGCTGTGACTTACCCCGAAACCTAATGAAAGTGACTTTCTCCAGTTCTTCTAAAGGGAGATACTGTGAAGCATTAATTCTTTGGGAAAATTAGAGGAAGGCCGGCCCTGTTAATAGAAAGTCTGAACTACAGTGCACTTTTAAGTGCAGTGTTATTATTTCAAGTACATGTAACTCAAAAAGCCTGCGAGGGGCGCTGAATCGGAAACTTCGAGTAGACAGGAATAATTAGCCCGTCTAAGCATTAGTCACAGCAACGCCGCCTCTGCTTACCCAACAGTGACAGCAGACTCCATAATTGGGACCCGGCTAATTTGAAATTTCTCACAAAGGCCAGGCTCAAGTTTATCTTTGTTTGGCCAACACACTCCTTGCAGGGAACTATTACAATGTAATGAGATTGTGTGCGAATGCTTACTCTTTGAGAAGTAACTACTTAATATGAAAAAAGCTAGTGTACTCATTACCAATAAGTTATTGTTGAAATTACCTCCCCCTACCCCGCTCAACTGGAATGAGTGAAAGAACTTTGTTAGAACAGGTAGAAACATTTACTTGAGCAAAAGAGAAATACGTGCATGCATATATACATACATACATACATACATACATACATAACAAGAATGTTGTGTAACATACCAGGGTAGGCTTTTCCTCTGAGTCTGTGTGATTCCTCATGTGTGAGTGGCATTGACAGAACCTGGCACTGTTGTCATTTGATGAACTTTTGTTTCAAAGTGGGCGCCTGGCAAAGACCACCCCCCACCTTTCCCCCAGTGATGAGAGCAATGCTTTCGTCAGCTCATCTGGCCTCCTTATCACCCTGCAAGCCGTGAACACAATAGAGGCAGGAAAAAGAGTAGGAATGGCCAGACAAAACCTATGATTCACATGGTTAATAATATTCAAAACCCCACCTTTGGTCCAGAAGATTAGAGGTATTTTGATTCATCTATCCAACAGAACAATTTTAATTCTACTTACGGCAACGAAGCTAGCAGAAAATTCTCAAGATATATTTCATTTTCTCTAAGACAACATAATGACCAAAAAAAGTAAGCTTCATGTAGTAGGGCTTAATGTTTTGATAAAACCAAGATCATGCAGTGAATTAAATGAAAATCTGGAAGTAAAACACGAAACTGGCATTTTTATTAAGGCAGGATGTATCAAAACAAATGAAAAAGCCGGGGGGGAAAATTGCTACCAAGATGAAAAGACCGAGATGAATTTTGTGTGGTGTTTTATTATGTGAATACGCATTAAAGATCCTTTGTCTTTGTCTAGGCAGTGCAATTCAAGTTCTAAAAGAATGGAATATGACAGGAAAAAAGAAGGTAAGATTAATATTGATTGTAAATTAGTAGCATCTTCAATCAAAACTTTTATTGTTGTTATCATTTTAACAAGGCTGCCAATGTTACGCTTCTTTCAAATATGATAATATGTGCACCCAGAAAGCTTGTAAATCCATGGCTCTCTTCAGTTCCCAGCCGCCCTCCCCACGAAGGCCCTTGTTTTCTGCTCGGTGTTCCAACCACCAGGTGTGCTTCAGAAGTGCCCGGGTTTTTCTTTTTAAGGATTAAGGGGAGCCTCGCCTGAGAACTCAAAGGATTCAAGACATTAACTTGCCTGAACAGATCCTGTGGCACAGAGAAGATTAGGAGTGTTTCAAAGACACTTGGAAACGCTCTAAATATATTTTCACATGTTTTTCCAACTGCAAGAATCTATCCAAAGCTGCGCTGAGATACCTTTTTGCTGAGTTCTAAGCTAGGTTTTCTTAAGAGAGAAAGAAAATACTTTAAAATCAGTGTAAGGGACCTGTTTTTTTCTTTTTGAGAACTCTGGCAGACTCCTCCTTGAAAACAGGGGAGATTTTAATCGGCCCCTTTTACATTACTTTGCCTTCTTGTCTAGTCCGCAAGAGTGACTTGTGGACACGCGTGAGGTGTGCGTGCACACAGGGGCCTCTGTCTCCAGCTCGCCTTCCTCATCTTGTGAGCATGCTCACTCGCTCCTGGTCCTGTGCCTAGAACCTGCTTCATGGCCTTTACAAAAAGTCTGCTCTTTTCTTTTTTTAAAATAAATCTTTATTATTAAAAGTATTATATCTGTCCCCTTTTTTCCTCCGTTGATCCCTTCTAGCCTGCCCCCCCCCCTCCACTCCCACCCCAGGCCTTCATCACCCTCTTGTCTGTGTCCCTGGGTTATGCATATATGCATACAAGTTCTTTGGTTGATCACAAGTCTGCTCTTTTCAAAGTCACTGCCCTGCCATTGCCACTGTTTGCCAGCGGGGCCTGAGTCCTGGGCATCCCAGGAGATAAACCCCAGTCTGTCCTGCTCCCTGAGGGGCAGTCACAGGCCTGCAAGCCAGGTTTTCACCAAAACAAACAAGCAAGCAGCATTACTTCCATCCAATCCCGAGATCGGGGCCATTATCCTGGCCCCTTTTTCTCTTCCTAGTTTCACGTAGAATAGGAAGAATTATGAGCTTTTTTCCTAGTCTTTGTGAGCCACCATCTTTGACAGTCTCCGCTTATCTTTAATCATAGCTCCCTGGGCATTTGTGGGAGATGAAGATGATTCATAAGCGACTGAAAGGCGGTATTTACTCTTACATGGAAATTTTCAGAAGTGTGGTTTGGGTATGAATTTCTCTGATGTGAGAAAAGGAGCAGACAGCAGCTGCAGACCCAACTCATTACCAAGTCTCCCTCTTAGTGGTTGGGTGGGACCGTGGGAAAATGGCCTGCCCGGCCTGCTAGCTGTGGGGCTCCCGTGGGAACTGGGACCTGGTGCCGCTGGCCTTGGCCGCCACCCCGTAAATGAATGAATCTGCCCCCTCGTTTCTCTAGGGGAGCACTTTCTCAGGGGCATGGTCGTGGTTTCAAAGGAAAAGAACGGGCGTAGGGAGGAGAATTCAGGAGAGAAAGCTGTTCTTTTTATTCCTTTTCCAAATGTGTAGAAGAACAAAGCCAGCTGAGGTTCAGCTGGTACCCACTGATGCAGCAGGCAGACAGGCCGGGTCCTGATGGGTCGGCATCCATTCTGATTGGCTGAGGCCTGTACCACACTCAAGGTTAAGAACAGTGAATATTCCTCGGTACAAAACCAAAGCAGTAAAGCATACAACATAACTAGGCACAACATCTTAGTATGCTGACCATTAGGACATTTTAGGAGAGACAGGAAAACTCCCATATTGTAATAATTCAGGCCTGAAAGATTTCGGTTGACTGAAGTGCAGGGTAGGGGAGCCTTCTAAAGTCGGTCAGCTACAGGTCAGCTACAGCTACAGCCTAGCGGTCAGGGGGCCCACTGCTCAGTCCAAACCCAGATGGATTGGGTCCATTTGGCCTTACTTTGTAGCCATTGTCTGCTCCGGCTTAAATATTCCTGGGGATGATTTGGGGTCCCAGCAGTGGTAGCAAACAGGGCCTCTGGTGGGCTGGTGCCTATTTCACAGACCCAAGGGGGCCTTTGGGGATCTGCCCTTCACATCCTCATTTTGCAAGGACTTGCCTGCCTTTTTCGTGTCAGTCCTTCCCTCAACATCCTCTCCTCCCCGGAGGATCAAACCTTCGTGTCCTCCTCGCCTCCCACCCTCATCGCCTCTGTAAGAAAGGAGAGCCATTCTACAGGGCGCCATGGCCGATTCCAGTTCTCTCAGGGCACAGTCACAGGTTCCCTGTTACCGAGTGTGGTGTCTCGATTCGCTCAAGTCTGCCGGTGTCTAAGCCATCCCTGCGATGGTTCCCTTTCAGAGGAAGCTTTCTGTTTACAATGTTTATGAAATGAAGGTTGATACAACTTACTGTGAGAAAGAAGATATTGACTTACATTAAGTTGGGTGGTTAATAAAGATGTGTTTTCACCCATTCTATTAGAAGAGCCAGGAAATTATATATATTTAATAATAAGACAAGAATAAACTCTGTGTGTTTCACATATAACTGTAAACCTACTTTTGCCCCACCTTGTGTTTATGTGTGTATGTATATATATCTGTGTGTGTGTGTGTGTATGTATACACACACACATATATATGTATGTATATATCATCTTATATAAAACTAGAGGCCCGATGCACGAAATTCGCGCCTCTGTCTTGGCCCCCACCCGCTGCGGCTGTGTCCAGAAGGAAGGATGTCAGGAAGGACGTCTGGTCTAATTAGCATATTACGCTTTTATTATTATAGATATCTTATTTTGGTCTCTCGGGGTCATCTTATAATTCAAGGATCTGAGCTAAAATCATATTATCTTCTCATTCTAGAACAATAAACGAAAAAGAAGCAAGTCCAAGCAGCATCAAGGCAACAAAGATGCTAAAGACAAGGCCGAGAGGCCGGAAGCAGGGCCGCCACTCCCACCGCAGGCCCAGAATGGCCACAGCGGCGGCTGTGAGAAGGATAGCTCGTCCACCGACTCCGCCAGCGAGAAGCCAGCCCTCCTCCCTCGGGAAAAGAAGATCTCGATACTCGAGGAGCCCCCCAAGGCTCTCCATGGGGTCTCAGGTCAGTCATTGTTAAGTCAAGTTGCTGAGGAAGACGTGGAAGGAAGGGATGAAGAGGGAACCTACTGGCCCAGTCCTGGCTGCTGTTGGAGGGGAAAGGATGGGCTCAGTGCACACGGTTCAGGCTTCCTGGGAAGGGGAGGCGGGGGAGGACTGTCAGGGACCAAAGAACAAATGCTCAGTCCAGCCCTGCACTGAATCAAAGGATTATCTTTTCTCAAAAACCCCAGTCTGGTATGTATTAGGATCATTAGGAAAGGGGAAATTCCAAGTTTAAAGACATTTTCTCTCTTGACACCTTTGCTGGGATAAGGGAGGGATAATTGGTGACAAAAGAAAATGTTATTTAAAGGTAGTATTTTCCATGATGTGACAGAACGTAATCTTCCAGGTGTTAGAATCTGGAATGTTAATTATTTGGGCTAAAGCTATATGTTAACTAATCTACAAAGGCTACTTCTCAATCAGCTGCATGGCCTTGGGAAACATCATTTCATCTCCGCTCTCCCACTTCCTTGCTGTCTCTACTAGAATGTACTAGATCGCTGGTCCTCAATACTACCTGACCCAATGCTTCATTTTTCAACAAATCCTAGACTAAACTTCATAGGTAATGTAATCTACCTAGAATTTCAATAAAGTAACACATATAAGAGTTCAGGGACAACTAAAATAGAGGCCTAAGAAAATGGCCAGATGTTCACACCTGCTGATAATGAATCACTTTGCCCTAAAAGAAGCGAGACATGGCTGGATATTGTGGACACCGTTTCTCTGTATTTGACATGTGAATTGAGAGCTAAGTAAGTGCTTTTGTAGGCAGACCTGGAAGTGAATGCAGCTGCTATAAATGCAGTTGTCAATTCAAATACCTTGACTGCTGGTGTAGTTGGCCATGTGATTTTCTAAATGGTGAGATTCTCCTGGTAAAGTTCTGAACACCATAAAGTACAATCTTTTCTTAATTGACACAGCAGCTGAAGCCTGGGAATCCAAGTAAAACAGTGCAAAAAAATACCTTGGGTTTATGTGTAAAGTGACTAGAAGGACATGAGAAAGTTCAGGACACAAGGCAATTCTTTGTTGTGCAAGACTGTTGAGATTGTAAGTCGACCTGTATCCCCCTTCCCCTCCCCAACCCCCCAGACATCATTTTTTTAAGTTTTAAAAATGCCGTCACTTTTTCAAAATGCCTCCTAAGAGGTGGTAGATCCCTCAGTGAGATCCAGGACACTAATTTATTCCCAAAGTCCTTCTAGTTATAAAACCCTGAGTGTATTGCATCAGCAACTTTTTAAGCTCCTCTTACACGCAAAGAAGTGCGCTGGGAAGGGTGTGGTGTGGTGTGGTCCAGGCCCTGGGGGAACCCCACTCTGATCTCTTTAAAGAGAAGGTCATGCGAACACTGATGAGTTGATGGTTTGGGAAGAGAAGAGCCACATCCAACTGAGCGATGCAGGGGATGTCGTGGGAGCAGTGGGTACTGAAGGACCCATAGACGCGAGGCAGCGGAGAGGACTCGGAGGGTCAGGAAACAGTAGGGAGAACTTGACTCAACACCCACCTGCTATATACGATGCTGCACTGTCCTCTGATAAACCCAAGATGAATTGGACAGGGGCCCTGCCCAGGAAGCGTTCAGTCCGGCAGAAGAGCCACGTGCCACGCCGGGGGTGCAGTGAGGCAGCATGAAGTAACCGGCACGCTCTACAGCACACTAGCAAGTGTTCCGATGGTCACTAAGCTCTACTTTTCTCCCATAAACACATTACCTAACAACTCTGTTCCTAGGGCTGGAGTTGGGGTAATCCTGACCACACCATGATTTCTGAAAGCCAGCCAAACAGCAGCAAAGACAACCTATTTCCATTTAGAATCTGGATTTTCCAGGAATTTTATAAATTCCGTTGTTAACGATGCCTACCCTTTTGAGAATGTTTTGATTTATAGTCAGGGCAGGAGAAAGAAATTAAATAATCGAGTGGCAGATTCCCAACTTTGCTTGTTATTGCTTTCACATGAATTACTTTCAAAATCTAATTACTCAAGTTGCTGCTTCGATATCAATCATAGACTAAAAGCCTAGCACATACATTTGTTCATTTACTGATAATTTATACCTTCTCCCTAAAACAATTTCGGTAACTCTATCAAGTATACGACGTTAGAGCAAATGCAATATTGAAGAGCTCCCTTCACCGTGGAGAGCTGCCTTGAAAGTTAAGTGCCCACTGGAGTTCTCTGTCCAAGGGATTCTGTAAACCTGCCGGGAACTTCCTGTGAAGAAGTCTTTCCTGCACAAAGAACCAACCCAGTGTCCCTTCAATTGTGTGAGTTTAGTGCTAAGGCATTGGGGTATGTCAGCATTATATATTTTTTAAATATATTTTTATTGATTTCAGAGAAGAAGGGAGAGGGAGAGATAGAAACATCAATGGTGAGATAGAATCATTGATACGCTGCCTCCTGCACACTACACACTGGGGATCAAGCCCACAACCCAGGCATGTATCTTGACCGGGAATGGAACCATGACCTCCCGGTTCATAGGGCTATTTTAATGTTATTGGTTCTTTACAAATCTATGTCTCGTGTAAATTTTTCTGTTAAACAATAAATGATGGTAATGAACAGTTTATTAGATGTTTTTGCAAAAGGACGTGACCCCTGGTTGACCATTAGCTTCATTAGTAACTCACTTACTAAGACCATACATTTTTAAATGAGTTTGTAATTAGTTTTTTAAATGGGTGTGTAATTAGATTTTTTCTTCCCCAAAATAATGAAGATTCTCGGAAGTTGATGCCAAGTCTGTCGGATGACTTGAAAATGTTTGTCCAATCTGCTGGCAATCCACAGGCCTCGAACCGCTATTTCACAAGCGAGTGTTAGGTCCTGGACATTCTGCCCTCTATTTTCAGTAGACCCTTGGAACCAGAAAGGATGGGAGCTATCCTTTAATCTCGCGCCCTCATTTTATAGCTCAGGAAACCGAGGCCCCCCAAGTTAAGAAGCTGAGACGATAACCTTGGGTTACCCTGGGGTAACTCTCTTTAGTGTGCAAACACCTAACACAAACTCATATACTTTTGTGCATGCATTGGAGAGCTATTGCTAAAGCCTGGGCTTCCTAACTCCTAAATGATGTATAATTGAAAACTGATATTGTGTGTTCACCACCCCACGTCAATTTTCCTTTGCCCTCTTCTATCTCCCCATTTACCCTATTTACTCTCTTCTACCTTCCCCCACCCACCTTACCCTCTGGTAATCACCATACTGTTGTCTGTGTCATTGAGGTATTTTTTCTTAATCCCTTCACCCTTTTCACACAGTCCCCCAGCTCCCTCTCCTCTGACAGCGGTCAGTCTGTTCTCTGTACCTATTAGTCTGTTTCTATTTTGTTAGTTTATTTTGTTCATTAGATTCCACATATAAGTGAAATCATATGGAACTTGTCCTTCTCTGATGGACTTCTTTCACTTAGCATAATGCTCTCCAGGTCCATGCACGCTGTCGCAAAATAAGTGATGGTGGGAGAAGACTTGACTTGGGGTGGTGAACACACAATACAATATATAGATGATGTGTTATAGAATTGTACACCTGAAACCTATGTAATTTTATTAACTACTGTCACCCCCAATAAATTCAATAAACAAATATGAAAAGAAAGGAAGGGAGGAAGGGAGGGAGGGAGGGAGGGAGGGAGGGAGGGAGGGAGGGAGGGAGGGAGAAAGAAAGAACAAGTAGGGGGAAAGTCGTCATAACAAAGCCGTATAATGATAGTCTGTACTTGAGTAGTTTCGAAGTATAAGCCTAAAAGAAATCTCCATTCTGCTAGCGGGGAGCATTTCTCAAGCTTTCCATTAATGAAACTGGCTCAATCCCGCCTGCCCCGAGTGCCCAGCTGGGCAGCAGGCTGTGAACATGCACAGCAGGTGTTTTATCTTTTTATAACACCTTGACATTCAAGATCTCTCTTTTTAAAAGTTTTCAACAGAATTGTTTTCTGGGAGGTGGAGTCAGCTTTAAGAGATATACAGGTGGCTGGGGGGTGTTAGTGTGACTTCCTACGTGAAAAATACCACCCAGAGCATCATCATTCAGGCTGTAAATATAGCGCTGTCGAGTGGGACAGTGCTGCCCGTCAGCAGATAGCTCAGGCGTTTGGGAGTTTGGTTTAAACTTAGTACAGAATGACTTCTTTAAGCCTTGGAGTACTTTTTTCTGGGCTTCAGAATTTTTAATAACAGCGCAACTGAGATCTTTTACATAATGCAATCAAGATTCTTCCTGCATCCAAGTACAAAGTCGGACAAAGGGCAGATCAAGATTTTTTTCTTACCAAAAGCAATGCCAAGGATCATTTTTATTCCTAAAGCCCCATTTAAAGCACATGATGGCATTAGGGTCCAATTTTCCCAAATGTTCTTCCTGGTCTATTTTCCTTAAGGCTTAGATTCTTCACTTGTTTGTGGGGTGGTTTGATTTATATACTACATTATCAAACGAAGTGTTTTGCTGAAATTATGTGTATGGGAGGCTATGAAAGCATTTTAACACAATTGGTTAAAATAATTATTTTAGAAGTACTCTATATTCAATACATTTCTTAAGGTTAGATTCGAATTTTATGTATACTTCTTTCAGTCTACTTAGAAGTACATAAAGCTTTCACTAGAAAGTAAAAACTAAAGAGAACATAAGTGTTTACAGAAACTTTGAAATCTGAACACATACATGGCTGTACATATATTATGAAAATCTTTGAATCCAAGTTCATATATTTCTCCCAAGAGGAATATTTGTTTTCTTTGGTGATGTTAACAAAAAACAACAGCCACCATTTACGTTTTGCTGTGTAAAATAAATCAAGTTAAGAACAAATTAAATTACACAAGTTTTAGTAACTAGAAAATTGAAAGTCCTCAGTATTGAAGAGCTAATTCTGAGAACAATTGCATGCATGTACAGCTGAGTGTAAATGGGTACCAATTGACTGGAAAATAATTCAGCAATGCATATCAATAACTTTTTTAAGAAAATAAAAGCATGAATTTATATCTTCTTCATCACAAACTGCACTGACTTTTTGGATGTAGAAATCTATAATAGTGAAGAAAAAAGGAAAGGTGGACCCGGGTTAATAGAAGAGGACAAGGAGATGGAAGAGGATTGACAAATGAAGCTACAGCACAGAATTATGAGGGAGCTTGGGCAGGGAGGAGTATGACTGTCCAGCAGAAAACGGAGAAGCTCTAGATTGAGGGTCAGCAGATAGGATGGAGGGCCAGCTTGAGCAGAGGTATAAAACAGGGCAATTGAAGGTATTTTAAGAAACAATCCACTATCTCCATACAATCTCTTCTACTCCAGCTTGTTCTATAAAATGCCTAATATTTACCTTCAAGGCAAAAAAAAAAATCAGGGGAAGAGAATGGAACATGACCTAGTATTTTAATGACCTATTAGAACAAAATCAAACTATCTTGAGGAAAGTAACAAAATCCAACATTTCTCAATGTGTCATCCACAATGTTCAATACCCAGTTTTAAAAATTACTATTCATGGGCCCTGGCTGGTGTGGCTCAGCTGGTTAGAGTGTCATCCTGTACACCAGAAGGTGGGGGGTTTGATCCCCAGTCAGGGTGCATGCAGAAGCATCCAATTGATGTTCCTCTCACATCAATGTTTCTCTCTCTTCCTTCCTCTTGCTAAAAATCAATAATTTTTTTTAAAAAATTACTATATGTGAAGAAGCAAGAAAATTTGACTTATAATAAAGAGAAAAGTTAATCACAGAAGCAGATCCATAGATAACCCAGCTATTTTAGTCAGACAAATATTATAAATATGCCAAAAAAATTATAGAAAAAAAGGAGATGGATATAAAGGGTGAAGAGAAGGAGACTTTCAGGAGAGAAAGAAATATTGAAATGGAAATCCTAGAACTAAAAAGTACAATATCGGGCCCTGGCTGATTTGGCTCAGTGGATAGAGTGTCGGCCTGCGGACTGAAGGGTCCCAGGTTTGCTTCCAGTCAAGGGTACATGTTCAGGTTGTGAGCTTGATACCCAGTAGGGGGCATGCAGGAGGCAGCCAATCAATGATTCTCTCTCATTATTGATGTTTCTATCTCTTTCTCCCTCTCCCTTCTGCTCTGAAATCAATAAAGATAAGTTTTAAAAAAAGTACAATATCTGAAAAAAATCTTTTAAGTCATCAGATGTACTTGACAGCAATTTAGACAATGAAGAAGAAAGGAGCAGTGAACTTTAGGACAGGTCAAAAGAAGCTATCCAAACTGAAGAACAGAGAGAAAAGATTTTTAAAAGAGAGAAACCAGAAGAATGGAATACTTCTCAACTCATTTAATGAGGCCAACATAACCTTATCAAAACCTGGCAAAGTCATTACAAGAAAAATTACAGAATGATATTGGTCATGAATAAAGAAGCAAAATTCTCAACAAAATATTAGCAAATTGAAGTGCGATTTTATATTTATATTTATTATATTTATAGTACATCATGAACAAGTGTGCTTTTTCTCAAGGATGTAACATTGACTTAACATTTAAAAACCAATCAATGTGTCTTACTATATTATCAAAATAAAGGAGAACAAAAGGATTATCTCGAAGCAAAATAAAATCACTTGACTAAATAAAAACTCCCAGAAAATTACAAATATAAGAGAACTTACTGATAAACGTGAAAAATCTACAGCTAATATCATACTTAATAATAAAACATTGAATGCAATTTCCCTAAGATCAAAATCAATGCAAGGATGATGATTCTACATTGTACTAGCATTCTTAGCCAGTCCAACAGGGCAAGCTTGGGAAGAAAGAAGTCAAACTTCATTTGTGGATGTCATTATTGCCTATCTAGAAAATTTTAAGACAAATACAAAAAATAGAAATACTAGTGTCTACATTTAAAAAATAAAAAGAAACAGGTGAATTAAATTGGATAACATATTTTGTCTAACTTAATATACCCAAAATATTATCATTTTGACATGTGATCGGTTTTTTTAAGTTATCAAAGGTATTTTTCTGTACTGAGTCTTCAAGTTTTAGTGCGTATTTTACACTTAATAGCACATCTCAGTTCAGACCAGCCACATTTGATGTGTTCAACAGTCGCCTGTGCTGGTGGCTACCTTATTAGACAGTATTAGGAGTCAGCTCTGAATCAGCTACAGTCTATTGAAATTTGCAAGTGGATTCCAGAAAGTCAGAGAATTGGTGCTACTTCTGGCCTGTAATGTTAGAGGAAAACCTCTACATCCAGGAGAGAACTCCCATTTATCCTAATTGTTAGAAATATCGGGATTTGTGGTCAAGATGCACCTAATTCTGTTATAGCTGAATAAGTCTCTTCCAGTTTTCATCTGAAAGAACTTCATTACTACATTTGGAAACAGACCTGTATAGCCAATGTGCAAGCAGTACTATATTCCAGTAGTACTGAGTATCTGAGAACTTCAGATCCTCCCAGTGTTCAGTGATCCCACCAATACTGAGACAGTTTTCCAGGACCCTCCTCCAAAAAAAAAAATACTGCTACTCAAATTTCTCAATAAATGTATGTTGGGTGGATGGTGAAATGAGCCATTGTCCACATATCAGTTCTCTGATACATAAACATAGTATTTTCAGCTCTAGGTTAATGAGCCTGTGCTCATTTGCAAGCTTGTCTTCAGCTTAACATCTTTTGCATTCAACTGAGTAATTTTTTTCCCTTCGGTTGTTATTTCCATCAGGCTATCATATAAACCCCCTTATTTTTAAGAACAAGACTAGTTTACTATACTATTCACACTAGGACATATATTAGGTTCTCAATTTATAATATTTCTTTGAGGCTGAATCTTCTCTATGATTTAGAGAGGGAAGGAGTTGGAACCAGCCTGTACTTAATCACCATGTTAACAAAACAGTTACAGACTCATCAAAAAATTAGCTTTTTTTAAAAAAATTAGTTTTTCATCTTTCAGAGCAGATTTCCTCCAGGTGGGTGGTGCCACCCATCTTCACCCCAACAGAATCACCTGCGGGTAGAATCCCGGCCCCTGCTGAATCGGAACCTCTGGGGTTCTCATGAACACAAAAGTTTGACAAGCACTGCCTGCAGTGAGCTTCCACTTCAGTGTAACTGCGGCCCCCTCAGAACCCTTCCCGGTGAGAAAACTACCGCAGGCGACTACCTGATTGATATTCAGTGTCTTGCCCAGGGTCACCCTGCAAGTGATTCCCAGAGCAAAACACCCACCCAGGTTCTTCTAAAGTACGAATTTCTTTCCATTTCTGGTACATCCTCTGATCTTCCGGGGATGCTAGTAAATGTTTCATTGCTGGAGGAAATGCTGTCTTCAGTACTTAATTACTATGTTTACTAGCTTTGTTGCACGTTTCCTTGTGAACTGTAATTTCCCTTTAGGTACATTTTAAAGAGTGCTCACTATTCAGCCCATTGAGCATATGTTGTGCTTTCTTGATATGGAAGTTATGAATGATGGATTCAACTTCACACGTCTCATAAGTGGGCTAATGTCTAAAGCCAAGCGGACTAGGACCCAGATCAGATTCTTTTGCACTTTCCGATGCTGCCTCTATAATGTTTGTGACAGTGTCAGGAAACTTGGTTTTTATTTTTTGGTGGTTTTTTTTTTCTTTTTCCTATGAAATCATTTAATTCAGTCACAGTTTTACAGATAGCTATTGAGCCAGACACAAGTACTGGGGCTTCAAAAATGTGTCATATTTTAGTATTTGCCTTCAAGGAAGTCACAGCCTTTTTAAGGCAAAGGCAAGGGCAGACATGTAAGTATTGTGTTCAAACATCGCACGCTAAGTTTTTACGAGGCCCTGGGGGAGTCGAGAAGGGAGGCAGGCGGGGTGACTATCTGAAAGGGGGCTGGGCTTCGTTGAGATGATGATGTTTTCTGTGTGAGTGTGAACCCTCGTCGGCCAGAAAAGTGAGGTCCTTCCTACAGGGTCATCGGGCCCTAGGGAAGATCAGAACATGGGTCTCGGGGATCCCAACCTGCACTCTCCCCACGACACCCAGCTCTCCCCAAGAACCTGGCCTTCAAAAGCACACTGGCTCCCCCTTTTTCCACCCCCAGAGCTCCCTCTGGTTGTAAGATGTTAAGGGTGATCCATTTCCTTTTCAGGCCACTAAGGTGCCGTTTAATTCACTCCAGCAATAACTAAATGGGAGCCTACCTTTAAAAGATGCCGAAAGCAACGTGCTGCTAATTTATGGCAGCAACTATCAGAGCTCCAGAGAGCATCGGACGCCCTGGCTTTTAAATATAGTTGAGATATTATGATGATGTTTCCTGATTTAATCCCCCCGTAAATTAGATGAAATGATTGTAATACCTGTTGTCACTTCATTCTTGCCCTCTCTCCAATCACTCTCCCGCCTTCATTAATTCAGAATAAAATACCAGGAGACATTGATGTAGCTCTTAGCGATAGGAGGACTGCATTTTATAGCCTCGATATGAAATCATAACTCAGAGACATCTAAGCCTTTACTGAATGAGAAAAACAAACAACCACCTGATCTTCTCATGGATCCATGGGAGCCTCCTCATAACTTCTCTGGGTGAGGAAACTAAGGCTCAGAGATGGTAAGTGGCTGCCCAGGGTCACCCTGCGAGTAATTACCAGAGCCAACACGCCCCCCGGGGCTTCTGACTCCAAGTGCAACGTTCTTTCTATTTCTAGTATATTCTCTAATCTTCTGGGGACTCTGCTAAAACAGTCTCTTGACTGTTTGCAATGAAAGGCATTATTGTCCGCATGGAAACCAACCAAAAATAAATCGTGGCCTCCCCCCATCACCTTATCATCCATGTTTCCAGTTGATCCCGCCACAGTCATTATTTGGTGTTTTCTTACAGAAGGCAACAGACCACTGCAACAGAAACTGTCCTTAGATGGGAATCCCAAACCTATACCCGGAACACCCGAGAGGTCAGATGGCCTGCAGTGGTCAGCTGAGCAGCCTTGTAACCCAAGCAAGCCTCATGCCAAAACTTCTCCTGTTAATTCCAATGCCCCCGCAGCTCATCTTGAAATAAAGCCAGATGAGCTGACAAAGAAAAGAGGTAAAGTGGTTTCTTTTGCACCAATGATTCAGCGTCTTTGACACACAGAGAAAAGTGCCAGGGTGACAGGGCGGTCCCAAAGATGCTGCTTCGTGGAAGGGAGATGCACCTGAAATTGCGTTTCTTTCGGTGACACACACACACTGCGAGGCAGATGTGATTCCGCCCGTGTCAGTCGAAGGGCGTAAATGGAATTACATCCCTCTTCTCTGCCTCCCTGGGACCATTCCTCTCTTTGTGGTATGGATAAATTTGCAGATACTTTCTACCCTG